TGGTTTAGACCACAGCGCCACCCACGTCTCTACACAAATGCATTATATTAGGGCAAATTGCTTTGCAAAGGGGAAAAAAAGTTATATTGGGCAGAGTTGCATGCAAAAATGTGTACATGTGTACACAATAAGGCGGTGGTGGTTTTCTGCTGCATTTTAGTCAGAAAACACCATTGGACTGATTAGGCCTAATCATTGTTCATTAATTTCTATAGGTCTGAGCTGAGTTAAGCTTAGTATATGTTCACACTCACTTAGGATATGTGCACTCACTGTGTTTCCACTGCTGTGATTTTGATCTGTGTAAATCTGGGGGGGTTTGAAGAAAAAAAAACACATTGAATAGTTCTTTCCTCAAAATGGCTTTATGGTGGTTAGCATACGCAAGCCAATACAAATCATTTTTAGCCAAGGCATGAACTAAGCCATTCTACATCATAGTTGCGGTGCCCCCTGCAGTGCCCCCAAGGCTCTGTGCCCAGAATATACATTAGGCTACAGCCCTTGGGGGCAGGCAAGTGTGGCCCTCCAGGTCTCTCTGAGTGGACCTCAGGACTTTACCCAAGCCATATCCTCTCTCCATACCTTTCACCTTCCTTGGATGCTTTTGCCTGGCTGGAATGTGTCCTGCAAGGCCGAAAGCACCTCTTGCTTACCTGGATGGAGAGATGTGGAGTGTAGAAACCAGCTTACCACACCAAGGCAAAAATTTATATTCATTTATAGGGTGGCACTGTGGGTTAAACCACAGAGCCTAGGACTTGCCGATCAGAAGGTCAGTGGTTCGAATCCCCACGACGGGGTGAGCTCCCGTTGCTCGGTCCCTGCTCCTGCAAACCTAGCAGTTCGAAAGCACATCAAAGTGCAAGTAGATAAATAGGTACCGCTCCGGCAGGAAGGTAAACGGTGTTTCCGTGCGCTGCTCTGGTTCGCCAGAAGCGGCTTAGTCATGCTGGCCACATGACCCGGAAGCTGTACGCCGGCTCCCTCGGCCAATAAAGCGAGATGAGCACTGCAACCCCAGAGTCGGTCACGACTGGTCAGGGGTCCCTTTACCTTTATATTCCTTGCTCTGCCCATTTTTGCTTCTGGCCCTGCCCCCCATGGTCATGTTGCCCCTCTCCTGAAGGTTGTCCAGAAGAGAACATGGCCCTGAGCTGAGAATGGTAGAAAGGTCCTCCATTCCTGATTTCCACCACGTCAATTCCACTCGAGAAGCCAAACTACATCCTACACATAGCATGCCTAGAAAATATGGGCTGAACAGTGCTGTGGATAATATCTCTGCAGCGAATAAAAGGGTTGCTGATCCTAAGTGTATTCTAGTCTGGTGACATTGTTAAGAAATAAGCTCTACACACACACAAACCACAGAATAAGTCCTGGTCAACAAGATACATACAGGCTTCACAGCTGAATGTGTAGTGGGGAAAAGCAGCTGGTTTCTTTGCCTATACAGGCCAAGATGGATTTAAAATGAAGAGACCTGAATTTATGTTAATAGGTGGGCATGCTGAAGCCAACAGCTCTCCTGATGGAGGGTGGTCAATGGGAATACAATAGTGCTCCAGATTCTGAACTGATACCATGTGCTCTACTGGGCATGGTTCAAGGTGCTGGTTATAACCTATAAAACCTTCCACACCTTAGGCCAAACATAACTGTGTATGTAAGAACCCAGGAGCATACCTGAAGGAGCATCTCCATCCCCATCTTTCAGCCTGGACACTGAGATCCAGCACTGAGGGACTTCTGGTGGTTCCCTCACTGCAAGAAGTGAAGCTACAGGGAACTAGGCAGAGGGCCTTCTCGGTAATGGCACCCACCCTGTGGAATGTCCTCCCTTCAGATATCGAGGAGATGAGTAATTATATAACCATCTGAAGGCAGCCCTGTATAGGGAAGCTTTTTAAGGTTTAAGGTTTTGTTATGTTTTTATATATATTGAAAGCCACCCATTGTGGCTGGGGCAACCCAGTCAGATGGACGGGGTACAAATCATCATCATCATCATCATCATCATCATCATCATCATCAAGCTGCTGTATGGGCAGTTTATCTGGAAGATATTTGTATTTCTTTGTAAGTGATCTGACATGGTTATCCTTCCTGCCCCCTGTTCCTTCCATTTCCCTATCTCTTGTTAAGCTCCTTGATGGCTGAGAACAGCCTTTAATGTCCTAATCTGTTGGAAGGAAGCGATAGTACTGGGGTACCTTCTTTGATGTTGAACATCATCTGGAGAATGTGAGGCATTGGGAGAGGGTGGATAATGAATACAGTGGTGCCCCGCAAGACGAATGCCTCGCAAGACGAAAAACTCGCTAGACGAAAGGGTTTTCCGTTTTTTGAGTCGTTCCGCAAGACGAATTTCCCTATGGGCTTGCTTCTCAAGGCGAAACGTCTTGCGAGTTCTTGCAAGTTTGTTTCCTTTTTCTTAAAGCCGCTAAGCCGTTAATAGCCGCTAAGCCGCTAATAGCCGTGCTTCGCAAGACGAAAAAACCGCAAGACGAAGAGACTCGCGGAACGGATTAATTTTGTCTTGCGAGGCACCACTGTAATCTGCATGTAGCCAGTAATGTATGTCTGCACGTAGCCAGTCAGGCAAGCCACATGGGCTAGCTAGCTAGCTAGCTAGCTATAAATCAGATGGTTTGGGGCAGGGTTTTGGAGAAGCTCATGAGCAGACTGATCAGCCCCGGGGGCCGTGCAACCTGAGGCTACTTGGGGGAGTCCCTTTGCCACTTCTTGAGGGCTTCCAAGTGGCAGATGCTTGAAGTGCATGCTTGGTATGTATATATTGATTGCTGTTTTATAATAAAATCTTTAATCTTCTCACTCACTTGTATTTTGTATTGCTTCTGAACCACATTTTAAAAGAACCACCTTGCATTTGGCAAGGCAGCTGCCTTGCATTGAGCCAAGCCATTGGTCCATCTGTTCCAGGGGCGCTCCCATTGACTGGTCATGGCTCTCCATTTATTCAGAAGGGGTACCTTTCCAAGCCCTGACTGGAGATGCCATGGAGAGCAGGCACTCTACTGCTGAACTACAGCCCTTCTCCCTCAAGTGTCAGACCACATCCTTTCATGTGCACCAATATGATCTCTAGGATTTAATTTGAATGCTTTCAATACCTAAGACTATTTTTTTATTAGAAACACTTAAGGTGTCATGATGACCGTGTGATGTCCCAGTTGAATTTTCGTTAGGAATATCTTTCAAGCATCCTCTCATGTAGTTGCTGTGGGCTAATAACAAGGACAGCCCTCAAAGAACAGATCAACCAGAACTGATAGCTTACCCTGGCTCTTTCCATCCACTCATCTATGCATTTGTTGCCTCCTTCCATCACAAAGCTACTCACGTGTGAAAGCAGCTCTCCTGAAGAGGCAATCCACTTTTCAGTTAAAACACCCACTCACCAGTGAAAGATGCTGCAATGGAAACATCAAAGTAAGTCTTCGTGCGCCCAAGTTTATGACCAGCGAGGGCAAAGGAAACTGCTGGGTTTTAATTGGGAGCACATTCAAGCACCCTCCTACGTCATTGGTCGGAACACTGAGAGTCCTCACAATACGTACAACTCAAACAGAATAGTGACCCTGAGGGGAATATTATTTTTAGGGCTACCCTGGTAAGCATTGGAATCAGGGCTGGCTGAAGATGTTTTGCTGCCTGAGGCAAAGGACAAGATGGCACCCTCCCATCCCATTCCATCCCGTGTACAGAAGCCATATGGAGAAGCAGGTGAATCTTGCAGTCAACGGACGTTATCCTCCACAATACCTGAAGGCAGCAGGTGGGGTTAGAGAGCACATCACAAGCCATGTGGCACCACGTGGCTGAGGGGATCCTACCTACCTGCACCCCCCAGAATCTGTGGCCTGAAGTGACTGCTTCACTCTGCCTAATGGTAGGGCCAGCTCTGGTTGGAATAACAGACCATTTAGTTCAGGGGTCAGCAAACTTTTTCAGCAGGGGGCCGGTCCACGGCCCCTCAGACCTTGTGGGAGGCTGGACTATATTTTGAAGGGAAAAAAATGATGCAAGAGGACCATGAGCCCTGGTGGCTGCTTACCTGTGTCTTGTGAGCGGCAGGGACTGGTGGCGGCGGAGGGACAATGAGCTCTGGAGAGGGGCTGCTTAAAATGGCAGCCGCTCGAGAGCTGCTGCTGCTGCTGGCACCAACAAAGCCCAGCCCCCTTCGTCCTCTAGGCAGGGCGGGGAGAAGCCAGAAGGAGGGAGGGAGGAGGCACCGGCGCCGTCACCATGTGAGGGAGAGGGTGAGGGTGTGGGTGAGGGAAGGAACACTTGCACTGGCAATCCACGCGGTGATTCCCAGACCGTCCATGGGCCGGATTCAGAAGGCAATTGGGCCTGATTTGGCCCGGGGGCCTTAGTTTGCCGACCCATGATTTAGTTCCTAATATTGAACAGGGAATATATCCCATGCACAAACCCTAGAAGTACTGCTGATTTGATTGTTGCACTGATTCAGATATTTATGTGCTCTACTCGGATGCCTACAAAGCAGTGGAGGGGGGCAAATAAAGCACCACCGCACAGACCTCAGTCAGCCCCCACCCATACCCGTTTTCTTACTTACAACCTGTTCAAGGATGCCACTGCTTTTTCTTCCTAAGTCTCAGATGTTGCCATTGTAGAACTCGTCAGGGAGCAGGATGGGGGAAACTCGAACTGGTCAGCTCTGCCCATCATTGGCTCTGGCGCCACCTACTGTTGGCCTCCCTGCTTTCTGCCCTACCAGGAACAATGGGATCCAGCCACAATTGATACTGATTCATGAGCGTCATTTTGAGCAGTCGGAGACGACACAGAGGAAGTTGTGGCTCTGAGTCCCCATGTTAAGTTGAAGGGCGGAACCTATGGGAGATGGTGTGGGGCCTAGCATCTAATCAGAGTCAAAGACATGCTGAATGGTGGCAGCAATAGTATACAAACCACAGAAAGGGGTGAGGAAATAATGAGCCAGCAACTGTATTAAGAAACATTTTATTAACAAAACGGTAAATTCCACTTGCTTAGCATTTCCAATAATGGATAAATTGGCCTTGCAACAAATAAAAAAAATTGTAAATATCTATCACAGAAAGCACTATAAGGTTAAGGGCTTCCGACCTCTTTTTGATATCTTGGGAATGAATAATTTCACACATTATTTTAGTGTATTGTTAAAAAAAGGCAACACAATACAGTAATAAAAAAAACAACCCGAAGCCATCTCATCACAGCACAATCCTAGGCATCTTTACTCAGGAGAAGGTCCATCAATATCAATGGGACTTCACTCCCCGTTAAGTGTGCATAAGACTGCAGCCTTAGTCAAACAAATTAGATTATTATAGAGATGGGATTAATGTATTTGTTATGCATTTTGAAAAGAGAAAATTGTTTTAATATAGCTACTGCAACATTTGATAAATGCAAACACTTCTTTTGTTCGTTATTTAAAAAAAAATCACAAAATCAACAAGGAAGAACAGGAGTAACTCCCCAGAAAACAGCTTCAAATCACCTTTGCTAGAAATAGCAATCCCCTATCACTTATTACTTAAAGTAACTGTGTTAATTGCTTGGGGGTGAGAGACCAACAATCTGACAAAGTTAGGTGAGTTAACAGAGTCAATACATGAAGTCACAAAAGCACCTCGCCATTCAGCACTGGTGGAAAAGCCCAAGCTTAGAATCTCTATCCCCTTCCATGTGGCCTTACTGCCACGGAAATCCAACACTCATTTATTCACTTATTTTTTGGCTTGTTTAACTTTGGATACCAACACCAGATTTCCCCAACGGTTCGTGGCTGTCCTCATTCCTTGTCCTGCCCTCAGCAAAGGTAATTCACAATGGTAGCACATGAGGGAGGGTGATTGGACCAACTATTTTTTTCCTTATGTTAACTCGAATGCCTTCAGAAATTCACAAGCATCACCAAAAAAAGGAAAAGTCCTTGACATATACAGCATGAATCAAATCATTTGGCAACTTTTAAGAGCGGCAATACCGTGATTTTCCCCCCTTTTCTGACAGTATTGCTGTGTTGAAGACTGAAAGCTCCTCCATTTCCCAGTGTTTCTCCCCAGTGGCAGTGAGCAGCGTACAAGAAGATAAGGTGCCTTGCTGGTTAAAGCTAATTTTAAATTCCTTCTTCCTGTCTGTAAAGTGCGAACAATCGTACTCATCACAGGAGGCCTTCCAAGATACAGCTGATTCTCTACTGAGCTCATGTCTTTCGGCCTAATATATTCCTCTTGTATCTCTCTCACTAAGTGAGATGTTACACAATGACTTATTGTTGGGAACCCAACAGAGCAGTCGTTTTAATGAAATGAAACCAAGGGGGGGTTGGGGGAATGCAGATCTATGGCATAGATCTTTAACCAAAAGGCATTAAATGTTTCCACGCATATCAATGCAGAGAAACTGAAAGTATGTTTATTACCAAACCAATGAACCGGCTGAGCTTAGTAGAAGAGGAAATTTCGTTTTAAGATCCAGCTCAGATGAAAGATGGGGATAAAGGTTTTACGGTAACAAAACAGAAGTGGTAAAATAAAAGAACAACTCCTTCGTTTGACAAAAAATATGCAACTTGGAATCTTGTTTTGCATGCAGTTTTTAACCGTTTTTGCTTTCCATAACTTAGGAAAGTCTGAGTGAAAGGAGCTGAGGAGCTAATTTAAAGGCAGACTTCTGAATTCTCCGACCATTCAACACTGTAGTGGTTATATACCAAAAGCCGGGCAAATGCCATATAATGGGAAAAGAGATTTGGACCAAGTATTCTGCAGAATTCAACCTTCACTACCTGCGGGAACAGCCAAACATACTGGCCAATGATGTCATTTGAACTGGAGTGCAAAGGTCACTTCAATCGCCAGGACTTGTGTGGCGCATAATTTGGGGCGGGGCAAATTCACATGATTTCTGATTGGTTTCGCTGATGTATCCTGGGAGTGGATAGGCAATTGGAGAAGAAAATGTTTATATCTATATATATTTGCTTTCTAAATCCACTTCTTTCATACAAACTACGAAAAACTGAACTGCAACAGAAAAAGAGAGAGAGAGAGAGAGAGAGAAAGACTGTACAGGTTAAGAAGAAAATTAGCTGACTCTTATATACATTCATACACTTTCCCTCGTAGTATATTCACTACACTGTAGGTGAAAACCAAAAGCAAACAGAAAGAAAGAAAGAAAGAAAGAAAGAAAGAAAGAAAGAAAGAAAGAAAGAAAGAAAGAAAGAAAGAATGAATCAGGAGGGTAAGAAAAATCGTGGCAGTTTCTCATGGCTGCAAAAGTAAACAGAAATGTTGGTTGCTCCAGATGTCTTAAAACGTTCTATACCTAGCAACACTTAGAACATTGAGTTTACCAAAAATGGTTGAAGAGCAGATATAGTTTGCATTTTCTATACAACAGGCTAGAAAACATCACTTATCACAGTCCAGAAAGCACATATAGATGTGTTTTTTTAAATATAAACATATGTAATAACATATTAAGCGTGCATGAATTTCCCCCCAATGATTGCATCTATGCCCTCAGGTTTGTTTGTTAGTGGTGTGTGAAAATAAGCCTTATATTTCACTTCTTTTGTTTGTTTATTGTTTTTTTTTTCGAAAATAAGGCCGCTATACTGTTTTCCTCACAACCAGAAAGGGGCTTTCCCCCCCTCTTTAAAGTGTTTTCTTCTTCTTTTTTTTAAAATGTGGTTTATTCAGAAAAGCCAGCGCTTCGCTTCAAACCAAAGCTCCAGTCGTTGCTTTGTTGCTCTGGGTGGCAAAATTCAGTTTCGAGGTTTCGTTTTGCTCATCGAGTGCTCGTGTAGAACCGCAAAAGTCTTCTCAGGCAATAAGACTAACTTACTCCTTAGAAAAGCGCTAGCACTTTGGCTAAATCCAGACTGATAGGTAGCTTCTTTTTGTGTGTTGTGTGTGTGTGTGTGTGTGTGAGAGAGAGAGATTTCAACTTTTGTTTGTTTGTTTGTTTCAGTTCATTATATTTTGTGGTGTGCTGGGTGATGTTTTTGCAGTAATACTCCTTGCCTTATGAGTGTGTGGTGGTACCAACATCATCTTCAGAAACATTCCAGCAACGAAAAGACGGCAGAGTAAATGAAAACACTGTGAATGTAAGGGGATTTATTGACTCCTGTTTCAGTGAAACAAGAGTTATGAAATGCTTATTTCATTTTGTTTCCTTCCCTTGGTTCTTTTTTATATTTTTTTAAAAAGTCTTTCCTTTCTGATTGCATTCCCTGTGTTCTTTTTTCCCGTTTTTTTTTAAACTTTGTATGTGCTTCATAAAAAGTAAAGTAAATAAGTTTTCGGTTTTTTGTTTTTTTTATGTCTCAGATAAAATGAAGACTATTCCTATACAATTGTTCTTTCTCCTCAGCTGTTGGGATCAGACGTAGTACTCCTTATCCTTGTTTTTCTTATTTTTGTTGGAGCTCTTTGAGCTGTTGGGCTGCTTCTCTTTAATCACAGCCCCGTTGGACTGTGCTGAGTTACTGATGTAGTTTCGACTCTCGTCGACATGATAGGAGCCCTCATCCCGGTTCCTGTACTTGTACATGGCATAGAGGAGGATGAGGATGCACAGAGCAGCTGCCGCCACAATCCCAACCACCATGCCAGTAGTGCTGCTGGATTCCCGGACCACTTCATCTGTACTCGGGTATCCTCCTCGCCCAGGCTTGGTGGGACTCGCTGTAGGTAGATGATGAAAGAAACATTTATACAGGGTAAAGCAGGAACTCATAAATTATATTTTACAGCTGTGTATTGCCAGAACTACATTTAACAGATATTCTGGGGGGGGGGGAGCAATGTTGTCTCCTTGGAAGGATAGAGGTCATCTGCATTGCAGAAGGTTGGCCCTTCTGGTCCCTTCCAGGTCTACAAATCTATGACTCTATCCTACAGTTTGCCTGAACTCTAGAGACTGAAGGGATCACATCGACTTTGTCACTGTGTCCATTCATTGGAGCAAACTTCAGCCCATGCCCTTCATCAGAGAAGATTTGCTTTTTAATTCAGACATGTCTATCTACTCAGTAGCAAGACCCTTTGAGTTCAATGTGGTTTATTTTCAGGTAAGTGGGTACAGGACGGCAGCCATTGTTCTCAAAACCATAACCCCTGATACTTAGATTTCGACAAAAAGCTCAAATACTTTTTTGGTTCCATGCCTTTAAGTAACCCGTTTGTTGTCGGAAAGAAAATATCAGGAATGATTGGGTACAACAACTCACAGAAAGTTAAAATACTCAGATCTACCATCATGACTTACCAGCATGAGTCAGACTACAAGACAGCCCTTTCTACATGTTCTTATGGCCACCAAGTTGATCCCAGATCAGGCAAAGGCAAACTCCGGCCCTCCAAATGTTTGGGACTACAATTCCCATCATCCCTAGCTAACAGGACCAGTGGTCAGGGATGAAGGGACTCTGGAGGGCCGGAGTTTGCCTGTGCATGTCCCAGATGTTTTTTTTTTTCATTTAAGCCTCCACTAAATCTATGGACATGCTTTTGCCTTTCCTCAGAATAGATATTTAAGGTGAGCTGAACATGCCAAATTTGGCTTAAGTGTCTTGTTAAGAAGTGCAAAAATCCCCTGGGATGTTTTATTAGCCAAACCAAAACTTATTTCTTGGACCAATGTCCAATGTCACTGTTTAATTTTAGCTTTCGGCCAATTTCAGTTGAATTTCTGTACCCCTCTCTGTACCAGTTTCCCCCCAAATGGATGCTTCAGACTGCAGCTCCCACCAGCCACTGCTGATGCAGCTGTGCTAGCTGGGGCTGATGGGAGATGTAGCCCAGAACATCTGGAGGGCATCAGACGGGGGAGGCTACCCGCTGATGTGCAGAAGAGTCTGCTCACATTCAAGCCAACGTGAGTGGAAGGCTCCTACAGGTCTTCCCCATACAACACAGGCAATGTCAGGAACTGGAAAGAGGGTCAACACACAAGGATGCTATGGGCAGGGTTGCCTGTGTGCCACTGCCCCCCACCTACTTACTTTCAGCAATTGCACGTTCAGGTGGAAGCCTGCACCTGGCCTTTTAAGTTACCATATATTATTTAGGCTATCTGCTTTGTGCTCTGCTGCCTGCTATAATATTGACTATGGCACCTCTTGCAAGCATTCTGCCTCTTAGAATTTTTACTCACCTATTACGACCCCAGGTTGCTTTTCTCAAATGTGAGAGAATGGGAACATCTATTGTTTTTACGGGGCGGAAAGAAGAGCTACCGAAAGAAATAAAAGGCCCACCGAGCAGCAAGGAGCGTATCGTAAAAACAAGGAGCCGAGCTCGTAAAGGTGGCGCTTTCGGTATTTACGCAAGAGTGAGAATTCTGCCCATCCTTTGCAGATGTTAACACTCAAGTCCCGCTTTTGGGCTTCCCACGGGCATCTGGCTGGCCACTGCGGGAACAGGATCATAGACTAACTCTGGCCTGATCCAGCAAGCCTAGAGAATTCCTGCAAATGCTAGTCTGCAAGGACTATTGGCGAGATTTAGGCCTGAGATCTATAGGGTTACCCCAAATTGCTTTTAAGATTTAGTCAGATGTTGGTCCCTTCTGGGAAACAACAACAAAACTGATGGGAAGAATAACCAATTAATTAGAAATACTAGCAAGAGGAGTGCAAGGACGCCTGGAATCGAGGGCTAGGGAAAACAGCTGCCCAACATTCAGCTAGGAGGATGTCAACAGAGACACGTACCCAAGCCATGGGGTTGCTGTTCTGCTTAAAATTTATTTGCCAATGAATCTGGTTCTTTTTTTAAAAACACACACAAAAACTTAAATTCAGATCCTTATCCTTGTTGATACTGCATCTACCCAAGTAATATTATTTTGCTTCCATTCTATTGTTCTCTTTATCACTTCCAGACCTGCGTTTCTTGTTCTGGAGTTTTGTTCTTTCCACCCACTCTTCCGATCATTATATTCTTCATTTCCACAGTTTTACTGCCTTCCTTGTAATTCTCTCATTTACTATGAACATAGTCTCTTAAACCATTCCTCCTCCCTCCTCCTTTCATCTTTCTTTTGACACTTTCGTTTCCCTTTCTTTTGCTGGCTATAATCATTCCCCTGGTGCTGATGTGCTGGCACTATAAAGATGAAGGAAAAGGGCTCTCACACATTCAAGAAAACCCTGTTTTGTTTTGTTTTAGAGACCCAGGCTGCACCCAAACACAAAAACTGAGGGTCCTGTGTGCCTGCTTGGGAAAGATGCCAGTGAGAGAAGATAATACTTTATTTGAAAGAAGAAACAATCCAGGATCTGCATTGAAAGCAATGGTGTAGAATAGCATAACCATTATGTAATTAACAGGAGGCGGGCAGGTGTGGGGGAATCCCTGGTCCTGAATGGGATAACTGTGCCCCTGAAGGACCAGGTGCGCTGCCTAGGAGTCATTTTGGACTCGCAGCTTCCATGGAGCCGCAGGTCAATTCTGTGTCCAGGGCAGCTGTCTACCAGCTCCATCTGGTATGCAGGCTGAGACCCTACCTGCCCATGGACTGTCTCACCAGAGCGGTGCATGCTCTGGTTATCTCTTGCTTGGGCTACTGCAATGAGCTCTACGTGGGGCTACCTTTGAAGGTGACCTGGAAACTACAACTAATCCAGAATGCAGCAGCTAGACTGGTGATGGGGAGCAGCTGCCGAGACCACATAACACCGGTCTTGAAAGACCTACATTGGCTTCCAGTACATTTCCAAGGACAATTCAAAGTGTTGGTGCTGACCTTTAAAACCCTAAATGGCCTCGGTCCAGTATACCTGAAGGAGCATCTCCACCCCCATCATTCTGCCCGGACACTGAGGTCCAGAGCCGAGGGCCTTCTGGCAGTTCCCTCACTGCAGGAAGCCAAGTTACAGGGAACCAGGCAGAGGGCCTTCTCGGTAGTGGCACCCACCCTGTGGAATGCCCTCCCGTCAGAAGTCAAGGAAATAAACAACTATCTGACATCTGAAGGCAGCACTGTTTAAGGAAGCTTTTAATGTTTGTCAGATTACTGTATTTTAATATTTTGTTGGAAGGCACCCAGAGTGGTTGGGGAGACCCAGCCAGATGGGCGGGGTACAAATAATAAATTATTATTATTATTATTATTATTATTATTATTATTATTATTATTATTATTATTTAATCAGTAATGCTAAATTGTGCCACAGTGGACAATGAGGAAAGCAACAGTTGGGAGTCAAACTGCAGCAGAATGGAAGCAGCATTGCACGTGATGAACATGGATCAGAATGGAAACTGATGTCTTCTTATATCTGCAGAAGTAGAAGTGGATCCTGTCCCCTCCCCATGGAGCATATGCTTTGTTTCAGGTTCTTCCTAAGCATGTACTCAGAGTCCATCTCTAAGCACTTAGAAATAACAATAGGCACCCCCCCCTTCTCTTCCTCCCATTGTATTCACAGTGTTACATGAAAATTCGTCTGAGCTGGATGTGTTTTACAAGAGACAATTCAGTGTTACCGAATAAAGGCTCTTGAGCATATCTGTAGCGGGTGAAAGTGAGGGAGACTTATCAAGCTGAATGTCATTTTGGAAATTAATTTCTGCCCAAGAAAGAATGGAACATGCTGAATGCAAGCAAATTAGGCAAATGCTTGTCCAGCGAGTTTGCTATTAAGGTCTGCTAGAAGTAGAGACTGGGTGTGTGTGTGTGTGCATTGATCTAGTTCCCCCTTTTTGCAGTGGACTGACCCAATCCAATGCTCCCGAATTTATTTGTGGATACGAAAAGAACTCCCAGTTGCATTATGCTCTTCGGGCTTCGCAATAAAATTTTAGCGTGCCAAAAGTACGCACCAAAAACGTACTTTACATAAAAGAGACATATAGAGCCTGAGTTTTTAAGCGTGTAAACAGAATGTATTTAACATTAATAAAAAGGTTTCCCACGGGCATGTGAGAACAGGATACTTGTTCTAGCCGGGTTCTTCTTAACGTTCTTATGACTGAGCAACAGGCTGAAATGTAGCCCAGAAATGGAAACAAGAAGAAATTCCGACGAAAGAAGAATGGCAGATGAAATTAATGGACTATGCAGAATTGGACAAAATGACAGGAAGGATTCGAAACCTGCGGGACCAGAGATTTACAGAAGATTGGAAGAAGTATATGAATCATTTGAAGAGCAACTGTAATCAACAAATTACACTAGTAGGACTACAAGAAGTTTTGTAAGGAGAAATATATGAAGTGTTACAAAGTAGAAAAAGATAGAGATATTGGTTCTGAGTTTGAAATGTAACAGGGAAAATAAGAAATGCAGACTGAGAGATTAGATTGGAAAATTTTCAGACAGGATTGATGGAAGTCAAAAATTTGAATAAGATGTAAAAGTATGTTTAATTATTGTTGAAAATGATATGTTAAAAAAACTAATAAAAAATTATATATATAAAAAAACAAAAAACAGGCTGAAATGTGAATGGAACTAGCAGCCCAGCTCATCCCTAGCTAAATGACACCTTCCAGCTTCCTTTTGCAGGGAAGTGTTGCTTTCACTACTGAGGTCTCAGGCATGAAACTGAACAATCTTATTTTGAGCCCAAGTAGTCCCCCCCACCCCGGTCCCATTATTAAAGCTGCTGGCATTATTTCATTTTAAGCATCTTCTCACAATTATCTCACTCCATCTGTCTAAACAAGACAGAATCACT